ATCAATAAATATCACGCAACTGAAATTCAATTATGAAATTCAAGAAAGGTTTACTTACTTGGATAGAATAGAAGTTGAATTAATGCTTAACATCCCATTAAAAATCTTCACTACCATTAAAAATTGATGGAGAAAGGAAGGTGGAAGAGGAAAGTAAAGGAAGAAGATGAAGGAGATGAAGATGATGAAGGGAGATGAAAGAAGATAAAGATGAAAAATGGGAAAGTGAATGGAAGTCTCGGGTAGACTCCAAAAATATCAATGATTTTTTATGTGAAAAATTAAGCAAATGGTACCTAAGTGGTCAAATATGTTTACACTTAATACCTAAGCTTTATCTTTTAGTGCAGTAAAGTCCCTAATCCTTAATACTTTGAGTCTTTTTGTTTCCTTCAAGTAAGTCCACTTCTTTTCCCTTATTTAGTTATCTCCATTTCTACTCCCACTCTGGACCTCTAATGGCTCGAAACTGGTTTTGGATCAGCCCGACTCGAGCTCTTAAGCAAACGAGCTCGTCTGGACTCTAATGGCTCGAACTGGGTTTTGGATCAGCCCGACTCGACTCTAAGCAACGACTCGATTCAGTAGGATATCACAACCTACTATTTCAAACATAGAAAAATGGGACGTTACACTTGTAATGCAAGATAAGACCATTGCATTGTAACTCTACCAAGTAGAAAACATTAGATTAGTTGGACGCGATGAAGCTAAGGAGCTATCTATGAAAGCAATCTTGTTCTTTGAAATCAAGGCCATTCCTATAGCTCTAGCCCAGGAATGGTGGTTAGGACCAGAAAGAATAGGTGAAACTAAAACGAAAGCTAGAATTTCATTTGGATGAAAAAATAAGGGTTAGAGGGATTTTGCAAATGATCGCTTGTCATTTTGTTCCAAAGTTCACATTACAAATTACAGAAGTGAATAGCAACGGATCAATTAAGAAAAAAATATTAATTTAAAGAAACCAGATCATGAAGAAGAATAAATCGTTGAAAAATGGAGGAAGAAGATGATAACTACTCTGATACCATATTAAGAAATATTAAGAACAAAGAAAATGGAAAAGTCTGGAATTAGTTCATTGATCTTTTCTTGTTTGTTTTATATACAAGTGTATAGAGCTCACCAAGCTCGATATCAAGTTGTAACTGCACTCTAACAAACTTGCTTTACACTTAATTGATTAGATGTCAGCTAGGATTAGTTCCTAGCTAACTAATTCTTAGAATAAATACATTCAATTAATTTGCAATGTTTCATTTACGCTTTCTCCATGCTTGCTACATTCTTGTTTTGCTCAATGCTTACCATTTCACTTATATGAGCTTTATCTGTTAACATTGTTTCCATATGAGTTAGCATATAATTTTATAATATTTAATTATTATTTTAGGATGTACAAGAGTAATCTCTCCTTAGGAAGAGTTGGCATTCGCATTTTGAGTGTTGACACTAGCATTTCATAGGTAGTAATACTAAGTAGTACAGTCAAAGTTCATTTTAATTAATGAAATCATCTAGAATTTAAAGGTTTCGATTACTAGCCAAATTTAGATATGTTTAATGGAATAATTTGCATGAAAGAATGACCTTTTGAATAATCTAATAAACTACTAAAATTTTTATATGATGCACAGCGAATCAAATTTAATTTGCTTGGTTTTTTGACTAATGTGAGTGGAAGATCTTAGATTTTAGTTCTCTTGACTACATATTTTCACCAATTTAATGCTCTAAGGGAAGAGTTATCTCCTGTCATTGAGCCTCTTAATGAGTAAAAAAATTGTTACCAACTTTTTTATCTTTCCTGTATTCGGAATTGAACAATTTTAATAATATATAATTCCAATTATGAGCCTACACAACTAAAAAATGATTCTTTTATTCATTTTAACCAATAAAATTAAAATATTTAAAAATATTATATTCTTGTTATATTTAAGATGTACATTATTTAATATATAATTTATTATTGCTTATTATTTTATCCTGCAAAATCTAGATTCAAATAGGATACATGTTATATAAATTTTTGAGACCGAAAATAATGAACAATTGGGAAGCTAAAGCATAGAAAAAAGAATTTTAAGCATCAAACACTTCATTCATACATATAGATATTAAGAACCAATGATAATTTTAAAAATTACTATTTATAAATATAGGCTTAGACGTACATAATTTAATTCCTGAAATTTAAAAAAAGACATTATGACATTTTGAATTTTTCTTTTTGTAATAATCTCACATCTCATCACGCTAAAAATAATAATTTTTTAAGATTTTGGCTTTCATATATAAAATATTAATTTTAAATTTTTTAACTATTCAATAAATATTTAAATCGATCTAATTTTATAAGTTGGGGTGTTCAATATATTGATTAAAGTGTTTCAATAAGCGCAATTTGATAAGTTAAAATATTCTATAAATCAAAGTAAAACTTGAGGGTGCCACAAAAATTTTTGTGAAAAAAAATATAAGAGTGAATTTCTGCATTGAGGTATAAAAATTAATGAATGAGAATTGAATCACACTTAAAAGTTATAAATAAATAAAAAGAATATTGAGTCTAAATTTCTTTTATAAATATAGATATTTCAATAATTATGAAGCAACAAATTTGATAACAGAAAAATGTATTGTTTTAATTTTTAGCAGTACTTTTTCTTTTACGTTATAGTAGTTATTTTTATTATGATAACAATAATACAAATTGTGTCTTTGTTTTATAGGGTATGCTTTTTTTCTATTTGGATTTTTATTATTTATATTTAATTTTGTAATAGTTTATTGTTTTTAGGATAGTTTATCTTTTTTTTTTTCCCTAATGAATTCAGTAAATAGTGCTAATGAATTAAATTAACAATGATACTTTATCTTTTTTTTCCTAATGAATTAAACAGTAAATATTCTTAATGAGTCAAATTAACAATTTTTAAATAATAGATTTTATTTTTTAGCCAATCAAGATTATAATATCATTTTAAAATTAAAAAAAATTATATTCCCTAATAGGATTTGGATTTAAACATGAAATCAATTATAACCAATCAAATTGAAGATTTTTTAAAATTACTATACTAATAGAATTAGTTTAAACTTCCTCGTAGAATTTAAATTCAAATAAGACATTAACATAATTAATTAAAATTAAACTAGCTTTATTTTTAACCAATAAAATTAAAATTCTTAATGATCTTTTTGTCAATTCATAAACTTAGCAAGCACATTTTAGGAACCCAATATTTCCCTATTCATACTTTTATATATTACTAGTCTTTTTATGATGTACGTTGCACGTTGACTATATTTGTTATTCATACTCGTTTAATTTTTTAAGTCCTTTTTTATTTATTATTTATACTCATTTTTATTTTTTAATATTAAATTTGACTATATTTGTTTATTCATACTCGTTTAATTTTTTAAGTTCCTTTTTTTATTTATTATTTAATACTCATTTTTATTTTTTAATATTAAATATTCGATTAATAATTCTTATCTTATATTATTTATATTTTTATAATGTTAAAATAAAATTCATCTACCCCAATTAATCAATAAAACAATAGTGTGTATATCCCACAGGAAATTCAGTTTAATTTATATCGCTATTTATCTAAAATTCAACTATAACTACAATATCACCTTAATAAATATATTTCAATATATATAGATACATGGATATTGATAAAATATTACATATATTTTTTAAAAAATTAAAATTTTTAACCTGTTCATCATCATCCTAACACATACGTATGTTTATTTTATTTAAAAATAAAAATTTTAAAAGACTTAATTATGTAATCTTCTATTTGAAAATTTGTTTATAAAAAAATATACATTTTTTCCTTTTTTTTATCCTCTCTCCTAAAATAAAATATTTTAAATTATAATAAAAATAGAATCCCAAATATGTAGAAAATAAAATATAAATTTTCAAATGTCTTCATTATCATATATATTTATTAAAAAATATATTTATTAAAAAATAATATGTTGATATTGTTTTTCTTTTAAAAGAAAATATCACGTATTATATTAAATATCTAACCACATTAGAGAAAATAAATTTATTTTGATATTAAAAATTTTTAAATTATTTTTTCTTATATATTTAAAATATTTATATTATTTTATATAATAATTTAATTTACACAAACGTTAAAAGAAAAAGTTAGGAATATGCTCTAATATTGCAATCAAATAAATAATCATATGTATAATAGAAATTAAAGTTTAACAAATGCACCTCGATACCATTAAAGATAAATATGATTCTTGATTGATTTAATAATTAATTCATTGTGAAATTGACAAATAATTGAATGTAATTGAGATTTAATCGAACGTAAATTTTTTAATCAATTAATAAAATATTATTAAAAAAGTAATATTAATTTATAATTTAATATAATAATTTATCAATTATTAAAAACTCAAGTTATTTAATAAACTTAAATTAGTGTCAATTATCCAAATGGATATTTTATGATTTTTAAATTTTCATTAAGATAATTCGTTATATATCTGTGATTAATATATTTTAAATTATAGATAGATCACAGATATATAACTAGTTGAATTCGAGGGATTTTGACTTCAAAATTATAAACCGAATCAAAAGTTTAGTTGTTAAATTTTACAAAGCGAATCAAATCATTGACTTTTAAATATGATTTTAAATTAGTTTACACGGTGTGAGCAATTTGATGGACATCCTAAACAGAGGAAATAAATCATCTGTAGTTGTTTTGTGGGCGAAACGCATCGTGGACCCACATGGATCAACTATGCAAAACTTTTGGAATTCGATCAAAACAACAACAGCATATTCTTACTTTAGCTATAATGGGCCCCGCCGTTCGTTAACTGCGGCCTCAAATGAAATCGAATGGTAGTCAAGTGGACTGGGGCGGCTCTAAAACACCAACCGGATACTGCCACGTGGAAACACAGTCCCTACCTAACGCCCATTACCACACGAATATGAATGTCAGTCTCAACCTCAGAAACAAAGAGTTTCTGTTCAATGAGGTAATTTTTGAACGAGAAGATTAGCAATGGCAACGGCATCAGCTTCACGTTTTGTTACAAAGAGCTCTAATGTGTATTTTAGAGGAGGAAATGTATCAGAGCGTAAAGTGATATTGGCGGCACAAAATGGCCTAACGAACAATACGAGTAGTCATGTTGGGTTAAGGTTGGAGAAGTTGGCGATGCTAAAGTTGAAAGCCAATGCAAAGGCTTTTAGAAGACAATTGAGAAAGCCAGTTGGAGTTATTAAATGTGGAATTGGGATGAATTTAGTTTTTATCGGAACTGAGGTTGGTCCATGGAGCAAAACCGGCGGACTTGGTGATGTTTTGGGTGGTCTCCCACCGGCGATGGCAGTAAGTATATTTATCTGCAATATTAGTGGACTATTTAATATAACTATTTTGGACTGTCGCTGTATATATGTGTGTATATATATATATTAAACTATTAGTTGCACGGATATGAGATATGAAAAACAATGCGATACAAATAATTTTTTAAAAAAGTAGGACATTAACACACTCGAGACACACGATACACTAAATAAATATAATTTATTAATAACTTAAATAAGTAAACAATCATTTATTGTAAGTCATAAATATAAAATAAAAAACGATTAATTTCTTATTTTAACATCGTTAATTAAATTTTCATAATTAATATTATTATCAAAAATCATTATATCTTTAGCTTATTTACAGATACTTCAGCAATTTCAAAAAATCCGATATTTTTAAAGAAATCAAATAAATCACTTATAATATTTTGCAGTTTATTTCATTCAACGTAATGTTATCAATTTTTCTTCATAAAAAGCCTTGTGAATTATTGATTTCAATTCAGTTTTGTGATTTAGTTCGTGAATTTCATAAATTACACATTTGTAAATTAAAAAGATTGATCTATATACTTTTAATTTTATATTTTAAGTACTAAAAATTATTAAATATATATTTAAGATAATAATTTAAAATTTTTATTAATGAATTTATCTAAAAGCTTTATAGAAGTTTTAAAAGTGTTCAAGAAGTGATCCATTAAGTGTTTTAGAAGTGTCCATAATTAATATAATAAAATGAATAACAGGACACAATTTTTAAAGTATCTAACATGTCAGAAAAGTGTTGGCGTACAACGTAGGAATATGAGATACGATAGTAATTATATATGATACAATACTAATTATATATGATGTACAGACACCTTAAACATGTCTAGCGTACGAGTATTGTATCCATGTCGGACACCAATATTTTTCCAACACTCCTGAATACGTGTTGGATACTTTAAAAAAAAGAGTCCGACTATTTTTTTTAATTTTATTAATTTTGGATACTTTAAGGGCACTTATAAAATTTTTATAAAACTTTTAATAAATTTGTTAACAAAAATTTTAAATTGAGGTCAAAAAGATAAATTAGATAAATATATATACTTAAAATAAAAAATTGAAAAAACCCTAAATCATTCTGTAGAGTTTATAAATTTTACTGCCAAATTTAAAATTTTGTTTTTGTTCATAGTAATCTTCGGACTTTTATTAAGAAGAAGCCCATAATATTATATTAAATAAAAAAACATAGGACATTGCACGAGATCAATTTGATTCTTTTGAAGACGTTACAATTCTTGAAATTACTAATTTATTTTTAAATGAGCTAAAGATGGAAGCGATTAACTTTAACGATGATGTTACTGTTGAGAATTTAACTAATGATGTTGAAGTAGAAAATTAAGTATTTTTTTATGTCTATGACATAGGATAATTATTTTCATATTTAATTTCGTAATAGATTATATATTTTTTAGTATAACGTGCCTTGAGCATGTCGTGTCCTTTTTTTAAAAAAAATTATTGTGTCCCGTGTCCGTGTCGCGTCCTATGTCCAAGTCCATGCAACATAGCTAATTATGAGAGAAGATATGAGATTTGGTTTGGATTTTATATTAAAAATGGAAATTACGTGTTTGGACTGAATTCATAACCACGTTTATGGATTCTTCAAAAAGTATTTTGATTTTATTCTTTTTTTTCCGATATATGGTTAGAAATACTCTCGTTTCAATAAAAAATCTCATTCTTATTGATTTGCTCCATGAGTGGGCCATGTACCCGGTCTAAGTAAAATTTTCCTATTAAAAATATGAGACTTCAATATAGAGAATACATGAACTTCGTGTCAAAATATACGGTTGTAGGTGGGTAGTCCAATATTCACTAACTATAAGATTTCTAATCCAACATTTTACAATTTTACATAATGCTTCTTGTCCAGGCCAATGGGCACCGTGTCATGACAATCTCACCACGCTACGATCAGTACAAAGATTCCTGGGACACAAATGTTGTTATTCAGGTAAATACAGACAGTCCATAGCAAGAAAAGAAGGTACACTTCATCCCCTGTTGTTGAAACTGTCATCTTGTTTCCAAACAGATAGAAGTTGGGGGTAAGCTTGAAACTGTTCGCTTCTTCCATTGCTACAAACGAGGAGTTGATCGTGTTTTTGTGGATCACCCAATGTTTCTAGAGAAGGTATTAACTTGTATTTGTATAGATATTTGTATGTTAATTAACATTGGAGTTGCAAAATTTCAATGTTTTGCTGTTACTTCGAAGGTATGGGGAAAAACTGGTTCGAAACTCTATGGTCCTCAGGCAGGAACAGATTATGAAAATAACCAACTTCGTTTCAGTTTGTTTTGCCAGGTAAGAAACCTTTTGTTCCCTCCTTTAACTGTGTTATATTATTGTTATGATAGACCAATACAAAAGTTGAATTCAGTTTCTTCTACCATATTGAAACCTGAAAATGGGTTTTGCTTAAGCTATGTTCGATATTTGTACGGAGTGATCAACGCTTCACTTCTTTTAAGAATATGGAAGCAATAAAGTTTAAAGTTCTGAGTCTTGTTTTATCTGTAATAGTTTTTTCACTGATTTATTCTTTCAGGCAGCTATTGAAGCACCGCGGTTGTTAAGTCTCAACAGTGGTAAATACTTCTCAGGACCCTATGGTAGGCAACAATTGTTCGAAACTGAAATTACTGTTAAGAAATTAGTTTCAATACAGTTAATAATTGATCTAATGCAGGTGAGGATGTTGTCTTCATCGCAAATGATTGGCACACTGCTCTTCTTCCCTGCTACCTAAAAGCCTTTTACAAATCAAAGGGGATGTATAGAAATGCCAAGGTTTAAGAGTCTTATTTCTTTCTCTTGCTCAAAATGTCAATAATTCATAAATTTAGTTAGCTGTGAATTTGCTGCCAACATTACTTAGAATGCTATATATTGCTTATTACTTCCAGGTGGTTTTCTGCATCCACAATATTGCATACCAAGGACGATTTGCCTTTTCGGATTTTGCACTTCTTAATCTTCCAGAACGGTTTAAGAACTCATTCGATTTTTTTGATGGGTATGAATATTTCTAATTCTCCAGTTATGAATTTGATTTGATATATAAAAACACAACATTTTCCGCTTTGATCTTAAGTTTGTGGCATTATAAAACTCATCGAGTAATTGCAGATATGAAAAACCTGTGAAAGGAAGGAAGATTAATTGGATGAAAGCCGGAATATTAGAATCAGACAGGATTGTAACAGTTAGTCCACATTATGCAGAGGAACTAGTTTCTGGTATAGAGAAAGGTGTTGAATTAGATAACATCCTTCGTATGACCGGTATTTCTGGAATTGTGAACGGTATGGATGTTCAGGAGTGGAATCCATCCACTGACAAATATATCAATGTTAAATATGATTCTGCGACTGTAAGCTCAATCTTTGGAAAAAAAAAAAATCTGCTTAGCTTTCGTATGGGATTGAGTTTGGACCTGTTCTTGAACTCTGAGTTCTGATTTTAGGTGATGGAAGCGAAGCCTCTTTTAAAGGAAGCACTACAAGCAGAAGTTGGGTTGCCTATTGATAGAAATATCCCTGTGATAGGCTTCATTGGTAGACTCGAAGAGCAAAAAGGTTCAGACATTCTCGCAGCAGCAATTCCATTCTTAATTCAAGAGAATGTCCAAATAATTATTCTTGTAAGTATGTTTTTCTACTACAGTTTATATTGTTTTATTATTCGATTCTGCCTTGAGGTAGGCATGGCTCCCGGGAACAGGTTTGATTCCAATCTAGTTCTGGTTTCCCTAACTAATTTGGAATCAAGGCTTAGTTGCTGTTGTTTCCATCTCAAATAACGAGAAACCACTCCGTCGGCTGAAATGACCAAATTTGGTCCTTTTTTGAGATCAATTCCAGTTCAATTCGGTCTAAAACCGGCCCATTAGCAATGCGTACCTTAAAGTTTATACCTAAAACATAATTTTACTATCACCAAAATTGTATTTGGTAATAATTTTTTTTAATTAGCTTTTAAAATTTTGACTAAACGCTTAGGTAGTATTTTATAAAGAGTTAACTTATGTAACATTTAGCTTTCAGCGTTTTATGAGTTTTATGAAAAGCTACTCATATAACTACCAACTATTCAAATATCTAAATTATACTAAAATAGTTAATTTTACTAGTTAATTTTACTGAATATACAACCTTATTAGTTTTGCACTGTTGTTAAAGATTGGCGAGGTCAAAAGAATGACCAAGTGCCTATTTGTTCAATGTCTCATAGGGCACTGGAAAAAAGCACATGGAAAAACAGATATTGCAGCTTGACGTACTCTATCCTAATAAAGCTAGAGGAGTAGCAAAATTCAATGTTCCCCTAGCACATCTGATTACAGCTGGAGCTGATTTTATATTAGTCCCAAGTAGATTTGAACCATGTGGCCTCATCCAATTGCACGCCATGCGATACGGAACGGTACAGCCTCATTCGTTGTTTAACAGCTTGAATTATTATCTCGCAGTGCTGTAAATCAAAGAAACTAAAGTTCTATAAACATGAAATATGAGTCAGGTTCCTATCGTCGCCTCGACCGGTGGCCTTGTCGATACTGTGAAAGAAGGTTATACAGGTTTCCAAATGGGTGCCTTCAATGTACAGGTAAGGCGACATTTTTCTGATACTCCTACATAGTGTTTGGCATAACCTCTGTTAGTTTCCTTCAGTGTGATAAAGTTGATCCTGAAAATGCAACCGCAGTAGCAACAACAGTGAAAAGGGCACTTCAAGTCTGCGGTACCCGTGCTTTGGCAGAAATGATAGAGAATTGTATGGCTCAAGATCTCTCATGGAAGGTGAGAGTAAGACAGTAGAAGTGTAAGAGATTAACAAGTAAAAGAAAGCAATAAATAATGTTTCCTTTTTGGAACAGGGACCTGCAAAGAAGTGGGAGAAGTTGCTGCTGAGCTTGGAGGTTGCTGGAAGTGAACCTGGAATTGATGGAGAGGAAATTGCTCCTTTAGCCAAGGAAAATGTTGCTACTCCGTAAAAGGCTGAATATGGTCTATTTGTTAAGTGTGAGACTAGTTAAATACGACATCTAAGCTATGTTCATCTAGCTATATACGACATCTAAGCTCCGTTCAACTAGCAGGCAGATCAAAATAGGCGTGCTGCATAAATAGTGGACTAGAAGTTGAAATTGCTGCAGCAAAGAAAGTGGCAATCTACCAGGCGTTTCTCAGCCATGTTAATTCACTCCAGGATTGGAAATAGAATGCAATTCTTATAAGTTGAAATCTATTTTTTGATTTGATTCACAAAAAATCCAAATTTGTTTAGATACTGTTATCTTAAAATAAATTTTTACTTGCATACAAAGCATAAACATTATCTTAATCTAATCAAATACATTATATTTTATTTAAAATTCTTGGGATTTTATTCCAATTCCAAGATATAAAAGTCCTTTCAATTTCCACGATGAACCAAACAATAACATCTTATATAGCCTACCACACATTGCAAAAGTTTCAATAAAACATTTTGCCTCGAGTTCGTACCTAGCCAAAGACAGACTCACAGATTTCAGAACTTCATGACAGAAATAGCATCCATCTGTAAATCAATTGTAAATTTTTTTTACCTCCGAAACTTCAATGGCTAATTATACAATGGCCAAACAGCAATGAAAGTACCATTAGTATATTAACCAGGATGGTTAATCTCTCGAGTCTTAAAGGAGTATTCAAATTGGAATATTTCCTCTCTTGATAATGCCATTAATGTATAATTATTGTGAAAAGGTTATTTACATCCCAATTGGCATTGAACGCCACTTAGCCACAAGATTTTAAGTTCTACTTGCATCATGAATGCCAACCCATCTATTTCCTAAATCCACCATCATAATCTCCAATATCATCAATCAAAGCAATACAAAATTTGCATTCACTTAATCCTAGAATTTCCATTGATTACCATATCTTCAATGGCAAACTGAAAACAAAATCAATGTTCAACCATTAATGTATCAATCTATGGTGAAAAAAAGCGTTATTTACACTCCCCAATTGGCATTGCCAACGGCCCACTTAGCCACAAGATTTTCTCTAAGTCTCTACTCTGCATCATGAATGCCACAACCCATCTATTTTCCTAAATCCACCATTCATAATCCCGAATATCATCAATCAAAGCAATACAAAATTTGGCATTTCACTATCAATCCTAGCAATTTCCCATGCATTACCAATATCTTCAATGGCCAAACTGAAAACACCAAACATCAATGTTCACCTTCAAACAAAACTCACCTATGTAAAACAAATTAGTGATATACTGCTAGGCAATTCAAATAAAAAAGCTTCAAATTTCAAGCATGGAAATAAATACTTGAACAGTCTCAAAGAAATGGAGATTCAAGAGAAAGACACTGCCAGTTCATTACTTCATTCGTACTGCCCATCATGAACAGTGTAAATTAGCATCACAAAATTACCCATTTTAAAAAGATGGCTATATATTCAAGAAGGGATTCAACAGCTTTAAAAAAAAGGAAACCTTGGAAAAGCTTACTGCGCACTACTTTCAAAAATGTTTCCCATATTTTCATTATAAGCAGATAGCAGTCATGATTCCACTACACTCAACATACATTATACATATCGTAAAACAGCCAAAAATTGAAAGGCACATGCCAACCAGGCCAGTTAAAAAAAAAATTTTGAGCAATGAGGTGGGGTAAGAATATGCAATGAAGAAACAGGAAAAACTGCACTGTCAACATAAGGTCACGCATTTCGGTATCCTCCAGAAATGACTATGAAATCAAAAATGAATGTTCTTTCAAAAATGTCCTTTAAAATTTCAGATTTTTCAGTTTCTTAAATATTAATACGATGATAATTTTCAGAAAAAATATACCTTAGTTCACCACTGCTATGCAATTCTTATAAGTTGAAATCTATTTTTTTGATTTGATTCACAAGAAACATCCAAATTTGTTTAGATACTGTTATCTTTAAAATAAATTATTTACTTGCCACTTACAAAACATAAAACATTTTATCTGTAATCTAATTCAAATTACATGTATATTTTATTTTAAAATTCTTGGATTTTATTGCCAATTCCAACGATATGAAAGATCCTTTCAATTTCCTACGATGGACAAACCAAACAATAACATCTTATTATAGCCTTACCACACATTGCAAAAGTTTCAATAAAACATTCTTTGGCCCTCGAGTTCGTACCTAGCCCAAAGACAGACTCACCAGCATTTCAGAACTTCATGACAAGAAGATAGGCATCCATCTGCTACAAATCAATTGTAAAATTTTTTTAGCCTCGCGAAACTTCCAATGGCTAAATATTAGCAGATGGCCCAAACACAGCCAATGAAAAGTACCATTAGTATATTAACCAGGATGGTTTAATCTTCTCGAGTCTCTAAAGGAGTATATTCAAACTCTGAATATTTCCTCCTCTTGATAATGCCCATTAATTGTATAATTAGTTGTTGCAAAACAGGTTATTTACATCACCCAATTGGCATTGAACGCCACTAGAGCCCCACAAGACTTCTGTTAAGTCCTCTACTTCGCCATCATGAATGCCACACCCAATCTATTTTCCTAAAATCCACATCATAAATCTCCAAATAATCATCACATCAAGCAATACAAAATTTGCATTCACGTCTAATCCGTAGAATTTCCATTTGATTTACCATAATCATTCAATGGCCAAACTGAAACAAAATTCAATGTTCACAATTTCAAAACACAAAAATCCAGCTATGTCAAAGCAAAAATTAGTATACTATGCTAGCAACCGTCAAACTAAAAAAAAGCTTCAAATTTCAAGCATGGACCAATAAATAACTCGTAACAGCTTTCAAGAAATGGAATTCAGAAGAAAACCACTGCAGTTATTATCAGTTCAGTACTGCCCATCGATGCAACAGGTGTAAAATAGACAAATCCAAATTACCACCATTTAAAAAGCATGGCTACTATTATTTCAAAAGGGAATCAACATTGCTTTTAAAAAAAAGGAAACCTTGAAAACGCTACTGCACTACTTCAAATGTTTTCTCCATATTTTCCATTACTACGAGATACAGACTTGATCACTAACTTCAACAGTAATTATAATATGTAAAAACAGCACAAAATTGAAGCAATGCCCAGGCCAGTTAAAAAAAAAATTTGAAGCAATCGAGTGGGTAAGAATATGCAATGAAGAAACAGGAACTGCACACTGTCGAAGCCACTAAGCGATACCATCTTGGTAATCCTCAAAATTTAATGAAAAATCAAAATGAATGTCTCTATCAAACAATTGTCACCTTTAAACAATTTCAGATTTTCAGTTTTAAATATAATTCGATTGCATCAATTTCAGAAAAATATACTTTAGGGAACCACTTTGTATTTTTAAAAATGATTATATACTACACTACTTGGCTTTAGTTTTCTTAAAATGATAAATTTCGACAGGTCTTTACATAAGCAACAATAAACTTCACTGTCTAGAACAAACAAACAATGAAATTCGGTTAACCAATAATGAATTAAATTTTGGAAGTCTTTATATTACCAGCCAGAAATAAACTCACTGTAGACAACACAAACACAACCAATGAAATTTAGGTTAGTTAACCAATCTTATTAGGCAACTTTATTAACGAAATATGCATGGCGAAGCAATAACCACAATAACGCTTAAAGCACAACAGGCTGATATAATCCTACTCAAACTTCTCACCGCATATAAGTGAAAATACCTACTTTTCAAATGCGAAATTAAACGGCATAGCCCTATGGAAGAAGCATTCAAGATGTAATGTACTATGAGCAACAAAATTGAGTCAAATTAAACTTGCCAAAAATCAGTTTAAAAATTTAATCCGGTACCGCCTAGAATATACATCAAATAAACTTCAACAACTTCACTGTAGAACAAACAAACAATGAATTTAGGTTAACCAATTATAGGCAACTTTATTAGAAATATGCATGGCGAAGCATAACCACAATAACGTTAGCACAAGCAGGCTATATATATCCTAGCAACTTCTCACATATAAGTGAAAATACCTATTTTCAAATGGAAATTAAAGGGCATAGCCCTATGGAAGAGCATTCAAGTATGTGTAATGTACTATGAGCAAAATGAGTCAAATTACAACTTGCCAAAAAAGTTAAATTAACCTACCGTAGAATATAATCAAATAGAACTCAACAATTACCAAATTAACCATGTAAAATTCAAGAACAGCTCATAAAAAGGCAGTGATATGTAATTGAACCCCTTGTATTGGTTCTCCAAAATCAATTCCAAAATAAAACCGCTTGAATTAGTTCCCAAATGGGCGTTTGAATTACCAAAAAAAGATGAATCCTAATTTTTGTCTAATTCGCAAAACAACTAAAAAACATAAAAGACACTAAAAACGGCGAAAGCACCTAATCAAACAAGCTGAATCCCATGTCATCATCACTCTCTTCCTTGGGTTCCTCCTGTAACCAAAAATAAAAAGCGCGTAAATATAATTAAAATTCTGCAAAATCTAAAAGCAAAATGATTCCCTTTATTCTTCTAATGAATTTCTTTATAATACAATCAAAAAAGAAAAATAGCTGAGCCTTAAAACAAAAAAGGAATTAATACCTTCTTCTCCTCAACAGCAGGAGCAGCAGCGGCAGCGGTGGCACCAGCACCTGCAGCGGGAGCAGCGACGGCAACAGCACCACCGCCACCACCAGAACCAACATTCATGATAAGATCGTCGAGCTTCCTCTTCTCTGCCAACTTAGCGAAAAGGCTTGGCCAGTATGATTCAACCGACACGTTAGCTGCCTTCACCAGTGTAGCGATCTTCTCCGCCTGCATTAAATAATTTCCCCAAAATAAAATACTAAAAGACGAAACGTAAAATAGAATTGAAAAGAAAAGCTGAAGAGGTAGAAAAAATTACAGTGACGGCGATCCCGTCGTCGTGGAGGATCAAAGTAGCGTAAGTGCAAGCTATCTCTCCGGCAGACATTGTTTAAAACTTAACAAAATCTGTATAAATGATTTCGATATCGATTAGATTAGCAGGACAAAAAAGATAAAACCTAGATTTATTCTAGAAATGCAATCTCAACGATAGAGAGAATTCAGACCTAAGGGATCCTGTGCTCGTGAAGATGCTTGGAGTGGCTACTGGAGAAGATGGTAGAATAGAGGGATGGGTTTATATGGATCATTTTACATTTATAGGTCTAGGGTTTTGACCACGACATTACGGCTAGGAAGCACAAACCCAGTCACCAATTATCGGCCTACAGAGAGAATCAGGGAAAGGGCCCGGCCCAATCACAACTCCAACTTTTTAATCTATAAAATTAATCATTAATTAATTATTATTATTATATTAATTGATTAATTTTAATTATTAATCTATAATTTATCTAACTTTCAAAAAAAATCTATAATTTATCTATTTATCTATATTTATATATCTACTAATTTTTTATGATCAACTTATGCATATTATTTGTATTCGTTATATATATTGCTGATTTAATTGTTTTATATATAATATATTATTTGTTAGTTAGAGTTTGCTTTGTTAGTTAAAGTTTGCTTAGAAATGTAATATCCTTTAATATATTTATATATTTTTCTTTTATGTATTTTATTATTATATATCATTAGTAGTTCCCCAAAAATGTTAGTCATTTATGTTCAACAAATGTTTAAATTTAAATTGATGGATTGCTAAAATATGAGCTATTTAAGCTTGAATGGTGGACTGCTTAAGTTCGAAATGATGGATGATTTGTGTCTGAATTGGAGGACTGCTTAAAAGTCCAAAATAATGGACGATTGATGTTCGAATTGAAAGACTGCTTAAGTCCGAAATGATGGACGATTTATGTTCGAACTTGATGGACTTGTTCGAATTGATGGGCTGTCCACATTTGTTGAGGACTGTTTATGTCCGAATTTATTAAGGACTGCTCTCCGAATTTATTAAGCTCCATTTGGTTGTACTACCTGCGCTTTTATCACAGAGAATACAAATTCCGAAAACAAATAACATATTATGGAGATTGTTAGAGAAACTCTCTTCCTAACCTTGTTATGGAGATTGTTGATCCAATGCTTCTTAGAAATGAGAATGATAATCAAGTTATAATCATGAGATAATCAGTAAATGATACTAAATTAGAGGAGTACCTGATTTTTGTGGTTAAAATCGAGTTGAAGGCTATATCAACTACCAAGAGATTTGAACTAACATGAATAAAGTTATTGAGGAGCTGTTAAGGTTATGGATGCTCTTCAACGAAACTATAACCGAGTCCCAACAACAATTATATGTTTATTATTTAATATTTTTTATTTTTTTATATCTGATTGTTATTGCATCATGAATTATGAGCTTATTATTTTATTTTGGAGGACTGAGAGTAAACAAGAATAAGGTTGTATGGTGATTTTAGCTAAGTGACCATAATCCAGGTGTGTTGTACTGTGCCTTTAGAAGCTGGTCTCTAGACTTGTTAAAAAAAAGAGGAGGCTATCTAAATTTTGTTCATGGTACAATAATTTTGTAAGTGCTAGGGATAGTGAAGCCATTATGAGGTCTAAAATTTCAGCAACTCAAATGTTATTAGACAAAAGTGAGTTTAATCTATGCAAGACTGTCATTTCAAACCTTACTGACAGTATTGAATTTCCATTTCAACTATAGAAATTAAGCAATCAGACATGTTGCTGAACCCTCCTTATATAATTTGTCGAATCTTTGCTTACAACGTAGGAAATGGTTTGACTTAGATGTCTAACTTGACATAATAAAATAATTTTAAGTTTAATCAGTAGCCAAACTGGAGAGAAAATGACTCTACTTTATATTGAGGCAGCCAACTATTTGAGGAAAAAGAAATTATCAACCTAAACTCAGATAATTTATATCTCACTGTTGTAAGTAGCACCATAGTAGATAACCAAATTACCTAAGTACATCTAAACAACATGTAGATATTGATATATAAGTGGTACTGAACAACAAGAAGTACATCTAATTTTGTGAGCTTTTGGCTTGAGAATTGGGACCAGCTATTTCATTCATTCAATAAGAAACTTAAATTCTTAGGACCAATCATAATTAGAAGAAAAGACAGTTCCTACATGATGAAATTTGACTGAGCAATAAGAATGTAAATGAAAAAGCTATAGTTTTATTACTATCAACTCTAAATTTAGGATTTCTGCAAAAATGCATGCATACAGAAAGCTTGTAAGTAGATTTCAGGTATTGGCTATGGATTAAACTATGAACCATTCAATAGTAAAATAAAATCCAGATAAATATGAACAAACTATGAGCTAATTCTTTGATAGTTAAAAAGCTTGAACCAATGTGAACATTTTGTGAAGCTACTTATTTAGGCTATGAGCCTAATTTGAGAGCGAGCAGAAAAAGAGGGAGGGTCAAATTTGCATGATCAGATTTGATTACTAGTCCAGATTGATCGGCCAATTTGATAAGAAATATCTATTGAATGTGGATTTCTAGGCTTTGGCAACAAAAATGGCAGCGGAGCTAATAAAACAAAAAAAAATTGAACAAGAAATATGCCTGAAATGGAGGGAGTCAGTATATAGACACTGAAGTATGTACAAAATCCTTTGTTTCCTTCTGAAATAAAAATAATTCAAGCTAAAACTTCTTGAGGGAAAATAAATTCACTTCTCACAAGCATAATTGTGAACTAACCACATAATGAAAACTTCAAATTAGGAAAAAGGAACCATTAGGAAGCAAGACTTTTTGTCAGACATATAATCATCACTATTTACAAAAATCAAAATAACAGTCAAAATCGTACATTGCAAAACCAGTCAAAGAAGAAAGCAAGCAGCAAAATTTCCTCAAAAATTAAAATCTTTATCCTTTTGGTGAAGGGTGGCCAACTATTTTGCATTTGACATCTTAACTTCTTAGAATAAACAAATAAAAATAAAGATAAACTGGTCTTTTTTCCTTTAATGAGATATTGGACACTATTGATTTTAAAAATAAAATATGAACTCATTGATTACTAAGCTTGAGTGTGAATTATTATCCAATCCACATTAAGCTCCTATCATATTCATGAATAACTTGAGCTCAATTTATTGGGTTTATGTCCAATTTAGTTTTAATCATACGATAAAATCCATTAAATAAATCGGAATATATTTCAAAAATAAATCTTCTTAGGAGTAGGATATGAAGCATACATTTTTGTTGAATAGTAGCAAGAGGAATACATATTCACTTTCTAATAATACACTTTCTACGTCCAACTTTTGCTCTAGTTTTCTCTTCCATTGTTGAAGCATATGAGGTATATATATATATTAAATTGTAATGATAAGATTACGAAAACAAGAATCCCTTAATTACCAAACAAGGTTAACGTGCTAATAGAAATACTAAATAAAATAACAAAGCTCAAGTTTCCTACAGTGTCAATCTAATAAAATTATATATAGTATAATAAAGTTCAAACCTCTATTCCAGCTCATAAAACCAGAAGAAATATAAAGCAAATTATATAAATATTGACTTTTCAAGATGTTAAAAGATGTCAGCTCTTTAATTCACAAGTGAATTAAGTTCTTTATTACATTTCCATTCAAAAATTATTGATGGAGAGAATTATCACTATTTGCTAAAATCATGATTGATTTGGCAATTAGCTCTTTAACGGTTAGGTAAGTTATATAATTATTTATGAAAGTCTAAATGTTGAATGTTGTTCATGCAAAAAATATATTGATATACACATTATATATAAATTATATATACAAAGGTGAGGCAGCACTTATTGAGGATAAGATGCAGCAGTCATAAGATGATTTTCCCTTTCTGAAGTAGACCAATAAATAGTGAACAAATGAATAGATTCTAATCAGAGAGAAGTAATGGGTATACAAAAAATTGAAAATTTTACATTCTAAAAAATAAAAATGCAAGAATTAAAGTGGTAAAGGATTGTATTACAATAGTTAATAGAAAATTTGACCCTAAACAAAATTAAGTGGAGAAAGATCATCAATGTAATTGATTGCAAACTAATTTACTTAGCTAATAAAAAATTCTATCACTAACAGAGACATTAGTGATCATAATTGGACATATGGAAGAAACCAATAAATATAGGAAAGATCATAAAGCAAGGCTAGCAAAATAAAAAGATACAAACAAATTAGAATTCAAAGAACCGACAATATAAGCAGTTCTAGATACCAATTTAAGCAATATGTGAAACATTTGAATCCATAGATATGGGCTTCAACAATTTCTGAATTAAACCGTACTTAAAAGAATTAACCTTCGTCACAATCAAACACCATATACTTCATTTTTTTTTTTTTTTCAGTATTTTTCTTTCATGAAATGAAACATAATAAGTGCATCAAGGTGTAACTCGACTCAAGAACATGGATAATATCGTGAGAGCAAACACAAATGAAAATACCTGAGAATGGCAAACATTGTACTGATTTGCATAAAATTGTCTGTTTCAAAATATATAGATAAGAAGAACTCTACTAACATTAACGAAAATACAACTGTGAAAAATTCATTGGCTAGAGAGGTTCAATCTAATAATTATAGGACACTGAGTTAGATTAACACTGCCTTTTAGGATTCAATTTTGATATTGTTTTTATATATATTTGGATGAGAACAATCTCAACAATACATCAAGGATCACTGGTTTTTTAATTTGTATAAATAAAATTAATATATATAATTTTTGTCATGATAATAAGATAAAAACTCTCCTAGGACATTCCTATAATCATACAATATAAATAAATTAAAATCTCCATTATACTTTGTTGTGCTAATAAACAGTATTCAAAAATCAATTTTGTTGCCGTATTTTAATTTTGGTCAGGTCCTTGTCTAAAAAATCAATTAGTTATTATACAAACAACTTGATTAAATATTTAGTCCTAATGATTTGATTGAAATAAAACTACAATGATTATGTGGGTTAGCAGTAAAAGTAATTAATCTTTAAAAGGGACTGACCGTGAGAGTTAGAGAGTGAGTTTGAATTTCATTCGCAAATCAACTATCTTGTTCGAGTGCTCAGTGTTCGTGTTTGGCTTGTGTGAAAATGGCTTGGGAATAGCGAGAATTTGAAGGAAAATTACTTGAAATAATTACTTGTGTGAATTTTACCTGTTGTTCAACCAAAAAGGGAAAAGAAGCCCAAAACTCCTCTCCCGATTGCAGCACCGGGATCTCCTTTCCTTCCCCT